CATGAGCCACTTCGTTGAGCTATCATTTGTGATAGCCAGGTCGGTTTTGAAAAATAGCTATAGTTTTCAGTGGTTCTTATCTAGTAAAACAAAAATAAATTTTGATTTAAAGCTTTCGTGACTGCAGGGATTCAAATTCTTTTTCAAATTTTCTTGTTGTGGTTTTCACACCTGATGATGATTGCTTGTGTTGCAGTCGAAACGTCGTGAGAATTTTATTGTTTTATATTATTATTAACAAAAAATCATCAGGTGAATGGACGAGACTGTCTGGAGGACAGCGCTGGAGTGGGACAGTCTCGTCCCTTCACCTGATGAAGGCCGCTTGTGTTGTGGCCGAAACGTCGTGATTTTTTGTTATTTTATTTTCACCTACGTGACTTTACCCAATAGAACCAAAGAGTATGGATCCTAGCAGTCACGAAAGCTTTAAATCTAGAATTATATTATTATTTTATTGTTTCCCTTCTACGTGACTTTACTGAAAGAACCAAGAAAACAAAAACAGTTTTAGTTTCGATTTTCTGGAACACAACGAAAGCATAGTCACTCTGGAGGATAGGAAATTTGGTGGGATCAAGTCAAGTTTATTTTGTGTAACCAGATGAGGCCTTAAGGGACCAGATGAGGCCTTAAGGGACCAGGTTGAATCTCATTTGCAAGAGTGGCCTGGGTCACCAAAAGGACAAAACCAAATAAAATGGAGACACAACAATGAGTAGAATCTAAATCAATGCAAGAAAACAACCGTGTTCCTTCTAATCGTCTCTTAAAAGGGTCAAGAGATGTTACTGGGAAAGGACACAAATAAAAGAGACGATCTAGGAGTCAGGCATGTTCTTGTACATACCCCCATGCCCACTCTCAACACTACGATGAACAATAAGCACATGCAGTTGCTGATGCACTCCACTAAATAAAGTGCAGCGAAACACAAGCCTGCCAATTTACCAGCTGTTATTCATGACAACATTTAAAATTGTACACGCAATTTTCCAAGTTAGTCCACGAAAATAGTAAAGTGTTGACCTCATGTTCCCTGAACAGACCCTTGTTTGGAAGACCACCTGCTATGCCCTTAAGCAAAGTACTATATGGTCAACATCCTCTCCTGTATAATAATTCAGAGTGGGGACTACTGCATGTAATGCCATGCAATCGTGTAAGTGTGTAAAAAAACTCATGCATGTAACAACCAAAAACAGGTCAGGAGCCTTGAAGACAATGGAAAGAGTGGAAAACAAATAGTAGGTAATTCAGTACCTCACGCGAACAAACAAAACTAAGGCATCCATGCTAAGCACAATTTGAGATGACAATACTCTAACTGCAAGGGCTGCCAGTGGGTGGTGAGTGGGGGGCAGGTGGGTCGTGACAATAGCAGGTGTCTGGGTCAAAGGTTGAAAAATACCAGGAGTCTACCCAGCCAATATGAGAACATAAACGTGTACAAATAGTGGAGGATGATTGTTATATGTCTGCATATATCGATGCATATTATAAAGTGAACGGGATGCAAATTGTGTCGGGATTGGCACCTGTTTAAAATACATCTAGATAGAAATGATTGGTGTCGTGTCAGCATTAGTGAAAATGCCGTTCATTTCCTGTTTCATTGTAGCACCAGAGCATAACCTTTGCTTTGTCTCTATCTGCCCCTAAACAACACGGACACTGCCATTCACACTGAAGCTCTTACTCCAGGCCTCGCAATTAAATTGGTCTTTTCTATGAAGACCTGCCCCCCCCCCCCCTCCCATGCTGTGTCAATCATGTGGAGGGCTTCATCTATAGCAGTGGGTTTCACAAAGGATTTTTTTTTAACAATATTTATTGATTTTTCCACGAGTCTCAAGGATATAAAGGGAAATACTTCGCCACGTTGGTCGGCATGGGTTGGTCAAGAGGATGGCCAGAACCGGGTCACATATCACTCGCCACTAATGTGAGTCATGGTCGTGACTCAAAGTCAGGTCGCTGGGTTCATACCACAGGGTGCTAGAAACGACACCACTGTTCCATACCCAAGGCATAGAGCAATTACACAATAATTATGTTCTTTGTAAGTATGACAAAGCAACTAAACCACCACAATATTTTAAACAGCCTGTGAGACTACTTTTCAATGTTATTTTTTCCGTATCGTATACTTTTGTAAAAGAGAGCATTATAAATGTCACCAGCAGGTCAAAGGTCGGCACACGGAGTGCTGGCAATATAAAGGGCTCCATGACGATGCACACAACCACTGTTGACAGGGACTTTTAAAAACACCTTCAAACACTCTCTTGAGAATGAACCAGAATAAATTGAAACAGCAGGCCTACGCTGTGACTCAACAAGGCTCAAATTCCACACAGAGCAGCAGGTGACAATATTAAATGCAGCACACAAATTATTTTTGGCTCGTATTCTATGAAGCCACATAGAGAGAAAACATTGTCAAAATATCACGCTCTGCAGAAGCCCAAAATTGCACAATATAGTGTTGCACTTCAACAAGGTAAAGCAAACGTTAAAGGCGCAGACGCCACGCTTGGTAGCGCTGGTGGATGGAATAGTCTCTCTTTTATGGGGACATTTAACAAGTCCTTGCTGTCAGGCAACTCTCGGTCCTTTGAGTTATTTCTTCAATACAACCTCTTTAAAAATCTAAATCTAGACAGATCTACATCCCTGCGATCTCTGTGTGGCCGGATAAGAGCTGCTTCTGCAGTGGAGGAATATCAGAAGGCCTAAAGCTTGGATATGATTATCATATCATCCCTGGGGCCAATACAAATTGGGTCTCTGGGGGAAGATTAATATAGCTTACGTTTGTGCATTTAGAAAACAGAACACGGAAAACTTAGTATCAGCTTATATTTCTGTTAGAATCCTATTATATAATGAGGTCACATTTTCACAGCACCTTTTCAATGAGTTACATTTTGTTTACCTGTACAGAGACCATAGCCAGGCTAGACAGCTTTCTGGTTAACATACCGTTGTGGTATCAGTAACATATGTGTAATACACATTCCATGTTGCTGCATCTATTAGGGGTGCCCTATATTGAAAACGTCAAAGAAGCATGACTGTAGAGGTCATCTCCATTAATTTCCCTGCGTCAGTAGTGCCAATTCCACATTCCTATTGCAAGACCAGTGTTTTCCACAGGTCGAGCATTATTGCTGACATCCCACAAAGTTTTACTCATTACTATTGTTTCGTAGTTTAGAAATGTTGTGTGGGCAATATTGCATACGAAGCTAACAGCCCAAGAGTAAATATATATGTGTACCAATATTTCAATTAATAACATGTCAATGTTCAACTGCAGTATTGTATTATGGGCTGTCAACAGACAACGTATTATATTGGAGTAAGTATGTTCTACCAATCTGGCTTCCCTTCCTGCTCTGAAAAAGAGTCATTGTCCAAAACAATACCTTGACAGCATATTATTTTTAGTGAAGGCAGTGCTAAAGACAAAGGTGGTGAGTTGTTTTGTTGTTCTTCTTAGATTGGGAAAGCGGAGTCAACCAACTGTGGTGTTTGCATGAGCGAGAAAACAAGTAAAATGCCGCCATAATTGACACCAAAAGAGCACGTTCAAGATTTTGGGGTCCACTTAAATTATGCTATCATCTCAACAACATAAATGTTTTCGTGAATTAATACAATGAAAGCAAGGCCTACATATCATGGCCTGGTGTGCATAATGTGGCCATCTGTATGTTGAATATCTGTGTTATTTATATTGTTTAGTAATGAGTGCTATATAAATATTGTGAACAATGAGCCTGTTTTCACAAAACAAATAAATTGCATTAATGTACATACACACTTCATAAAGCAACATACCGTCAACATCAATAAAGTGCTTTAGACATTGTCAGGGTTAATTTGCACAAACTTTGGTGTATCCTGCATGTACCCTGTTTTTATGGTGTATATTGTTCTTCACTGAACACTTCATCACATGCCCCTGGTTTTGCTTGAAAATATGTGTTGTTGCAATGGGATCCCAACTGGTTATAAAGGATTTGACTTCCTGATCGATTACCTGTGTGGGCCATAACACTCAAACGGCGATTTTTTAACCACAACCTCATCACTGTCAAAGTCCATTATAACTCCCTGGCCAAATAAGCACCTGCACAACCCACAGGCCATTAATAACCAACACAGGATGGTTCTCATGCGGCACTCGTCTGCACTAGCATGTATAAAGAGCCAGGGAACTGAACCTTTGTTTCCTGGAAGCATTAATGTAGAATATACAGTGGGAGGTAACAGTATCTGTGCCCCTCCTCAAGTCTGATATGAGCGCATTCATCACCCATTATGAGCATACCGTGTGGCAAGTCACTGAAAAGATCACGAATCAAGCAGAAACGACCCCGGGGGAGCGTGGGAACACAGAGTGAACGGTATACGGAAGGAACATTGGGGAAAACTACAGGACATGGATCTGAGAAGGAGCAGCGAATATCAAGATTACTAAAAACAGTCACTTGACCGTAGATGTGCATGAAGAATGCTGCCACTCAGGATAGAACTTGTGTCCACACAACACAATGAGTTGCATATGCAACTGCTTCAGTCGTGGATAAACAAATACGTGTTTAATATATTGGCAGAGTCGGTTAAGTTTGCGTGTTCCAGGTTCAATATATTAGGAGGTATGTGCTTGTTATTTTCTCACCACAGACTGAAATACCCACAAGCAGAATTGGATTTGCATGCATTAGCCAGGATATTCTGTTTAGGATGCACCGCAAGCACAAGTTACAGCACCAAATTACCCCATGTAAAAAAAATCCCCATCAAATCTTCCCTCCACTCTTACCAGTCAACCACCCCTTTCTACAGCCCCTCTCTATAAAATTAACTAGATGGTAATGTAGGTCAAAAGACAAAAAAATACAAGCTCCGTATTAATGCTGATTATTGAAGCAGGACCAAAACTAATAGCACACCCATGGTGCAATTGGCAATTTATACCACCGTCTCACCCGGAATTGGATGATCCCATTTGTTTCTGATTGCAGAAACAGACGGTGGGGCCCATTCCAGTTGCCGTACACAATGTCCACACGGCCATCTTTGTTGAAGTCAGCAAGAGCCACTCCACGACCATGGCAATCGGCGTCGGCCACTCCTGCGTAGTGACACACACACACGCGCGTACGAGCACGGACGCGCACACAGAGCCAGGTTAGACTTGCTCGTGAAAGCAAAGTTACTTAGAAATGCGAGCAAAGCCGGTAGCGCATGTGAAGGGGGCTCTATCGTGGGTAGCACCATGCAGGTTTTTCTCACCTTCTGTCTGATGTTAAATAAAAGTGTCAGTCACTCATTTTAAGCAAATGTAACAACAATTATGGTGCTACATTGGCAGTGGTGTACACAGACTGAAAATATCTACAGCCATCATTGTTAACATTTCTTTGTAATAGAAATAGAAATTTATAGATAGCTAACATTCCAGGCTGTGGTGTGTCTGCAGAGCCGATATTAAAAGGCAAATAAAATATTTTGGCTGACATAGTGAGAGAACACATTTGACTTGTGTTGCCTTGAAAAACTAAGAAATATTGGATAGCTGAATTTTTTTAAATAGTTTATAGATGAATGGTTTCAAATAACAAATACTTGATTGCTAACAGACATTTAAATGGTCAAACATACACGCACACATACACAAATTGACTTAAGTAATAAAAATGAATCATGGTGAAAACGATTGTGTAAGTGTGGCTATGACAAGTCTATTGTCATGTTAAGTCAATTCTTTCAGAGTGTGTTCATTTGCAAATGCATTCCTAGGGGCTGCGGCAGTGTCTCTGAATAATGCGAAGGTTGAAAGAGCAGAATGTCTCATTATTGCCAACCTATACTCGGATCAGCTCGCAGTGTTAAATGGACATGTCATATTTTCTTAACAAACATATGAGCTAGATGTAATCGAACAAAGCTTTACAATTCAAGACTGGACGTACAATTTGCATTAACACCGAGCCGTGCAACGTTGGAATGCCCTCACTCTTGTTAAACATCTTAACGTGATGCATGCGTTGGTGGCCATGAGCAATGGGCCAGCATACGATGGTCTGCCATCGCGGCACTTCTCCGAACGCCTCCTATGGCTACCAGCGATGTTTCCGCAAAGGAGAAGCAGCAGTGAACACAGGCTGCAGGAGAAATAAGTTTCATCCTTCAACTTCTACATTTTTACATATCGGCCATTGGGTGTGCCTTTGACCAAAACACATGGAATGTGCCTTATCCCATCAGTTCTAAAAAGCTAAGCAGATTTGAGCCTGGATAGAACCAGGATGGGTGACCAACACCTATAACGCCGGGTGCGGTAATCTTTGTATGAGCAGCATAGGCATCACAGCAAACTCCATTATTTTGCACTTCCCCTATTTTCTCCAACCCATGATGACCAGTGTGGTGAAGTATAGTCAAGTAGCACTCGAGACCTGCACAGCACGGGGGGTCGTCATCCAGCAGCGGATTTACAAAAGGGATGTATGAAGAAGTTTTTTCACACGGTACGTAGCTAACAAACTAAACACGAAAAGCAGTTCTAAAGAAATACGTTTTCAATCTAGATTTTAAAGTGCATAGCTCCATTGGCTTCCTAGTATCGGAAGGCAGAGCAATCCAGATGGCCGCAGAAGCGGATCTTAAAGCGGGCGATGCAGTGACCGTCTTTGTTCGATGGTTAGCCAAAAGCTGTTGCGAGGATGACCGGAGTTTGCATGATGATTTATGCTCCTTGAAGAGATCAACAAGGTATTGTGGTTAATTTGTGCCAAGTACTTTGTATGTAATGAGTGCATGTACAACGTGATACAGGTACAGACAGTCCCCGGGTTACGCAAGGGTTAGATTCCTGAGAACGATCCGTAACCCAAATTTTCCGTATGTCGGAAACTGAACAATTTTCCCTCCAAAGTCAACGATAAAATCCCATAGCTGGAAATCGTTGTGCCTCCCCTACTGTTTTCTCTCAGTACTGCATCGTGCCGTCCCTTTTCTATCGCTACCTGTATCGTATCGCTGTACATATGCTCTGTGCTTCCTATGATTCTTTAATCGAATATCAACCCTAACACTACCCATAATTAATATCAATTGTTAACAAAAAGCAGTCACTTCCAAATGTTACCGTGCATTCGGCTAGGTCTAGACTGCTCTGATCGCTGTTGGCTGAGACCAATTGTGTAAAAAATAAGTAAATACAGTAAATAACTCATGAAATAAACTTAAAATAAAAAAAACTAGCAACAGAAACATTGGAAAAATATATAGTTCTAAGAATTACGTAACGCTACAAAAAAAATTCCATTTACCTTAATCCTAGTGAAGCTCGGGCTCGGTGAAGGTGGCGTTTTGGTGGAGCGAGACATGTCGCCTTACTCGCTCTGCAGTATTAATCCACAACCTCACAGAGCGGCATTATTTGCGCTTACGTAACTAAAACAAAATTTCCGCATATTGACTTTTTTTACATGATTCATGGAACATTTCCGTAAGGTTGGATTTCCGTAAGTCGGGTCTTCTGTAACCCATGAGACTTACTGTATCAATTAATACATACAGGTTGAATACTCAAGAGAACAGCAGCCCTTTATTTAAATGAGACATTTCAACTCCAGCAAGGAGATCATAGTCATCATCAGTGCGCAATACATCCATGACGGTGCTAGGCTTCCATGGGCCAGGGGAGTGGACAGTCACAGCTCACCTCACAATCTGCCATCTATAGGCCTGTCTACAGACAAGACAAATGAAATAGCATTTTTAAAACGGGGGTGATGATAGGGGGAAGAAAGAGATACATTATTTTTGAGCGGAGAGAGGCGTTGATATGTGGATGTGGATTGGGGATTAGAGTGTCTGTGTGCATGTGCGCGTGCTGTATGTGTATATATGTCTGTACGTGGGGAGGAGTAGTGTAGCGGTTAGCGCGCTGCGCTACGAACCCGGCGACCCGAGTTTGATTCCGGTTTACGGCCAACACCAGTGCCGATCATCTGAACCAGCCCTGGGCCTCCCTAGTGTAATTATAAATGTGTCGTTACCTGATAAAATTAAACGAGACCCAACCAACACCTTGGAACGTAAGACAATGGCAATCATTGCCAGGTTATCAATTCCAAAGGAAGAGCAATACCTGATCAAATCAAGGGCATCAAAACCACCAAGACTTTATGGGCTACGAAAGATTCACAAACCTGATGTCCCATTAAGACCCATAGTTAGTAAAATTGGCTCTGCCACATACAAATTAGCACAATACGTAACGAAACAAATACAGCCCTACAAGGATAGGACCTCTTCGTTTATTAAAAACTCAGAACATCTCGTAAATACAATTAAAGATATTAAGCTTAACCCTAATGATATTCTCGGAAGTTTTGATGTGACTTCTCTGTTCACAAGGGTTCCGGTCAACGAGTCTATTAAATTACTTGATACTGTGATAACGAACACAGGTTTAGCCAAAGATATCCAACGGCTAGCTGGACACTGTCTAAAGAACACCTACTTCTTTTGGAAAGGTGATTTCTATAAACAAAAGGAAGGAGCAGAAATGGGCTCTCCTTTGTCTCCTGTGATTGCGTATTTGTACATTGAAGATTTTTAAGCAAAAGCAATAGATTAAAGTGCACTAAAACCATTCAACACAGTACATAAAATCCGTGATCTGGTTCCATCTGTAAAAGATGTTGTTCCAGACATACAGTACCCGGGTGTTTACAAACTAAAGTGCCTCTGTGGTAGCAGCTACATTGGAGAAACCAAACGACATATCTCGGACCGCATCCGCGAACATAAAGCAGCCTTGAAACACGGTAGAACGAACTCCTCTGCCGTGGCAGATCACTGTTATAATTCAGTGGGCTCACATGACATTGACTTCTCCAAGACGGAGGTTCTTTGCAAGCCAACCGGCTACCATGAGAGATTCGTTCATGAGGCCATCCACATATACAAGCACAGAGACAATTTCAACCGAGAAGATGGATTCTGGCTTAGTAACCATTGGAAAGATGTTTTAAACCATTCCGGTTCTTAATTAATTGTATTTTACGGTGACCTTCAGACCGCAGCTCTTTCGCTGGCGTTGCCTCTTAAAACCTCTCACACCACGGTTAATGGTATAGTTTATAACATGGAGTATAACAGCGCATCGTGGCTGTTTCTCTCCCCCCTCCTCCGCTCCGAGCATGGATGGACTCGTCCATCTGAACGGGGTTCGTCGCTGCCCGTGGTGCTGGCGTTGAGGGGAAGAAACCGCCACCCATTTTTTCGCCATATGGCATTGTAATGTATAACGACTTATTGTTGGTGGCTCAGCTGCTTGGAAAGTATATAGAGTTTATTGATAACATTCATGTAAATTTTGATTTAAAGCTTTCGTGACTGCAGTAATTCATATTCTTAGTTTTTTCGGTAAAGTCACATTGAAGGGAAACAACAAAATAATAAAATATATATAAAACAATAAAAAATTCTCACGACGTTTCGACCATAACTCAAACGGTCATCTTCAGGTGTGTTGGTTTGCATAAATTTATTTTTAAAAAACTAAAGTGCCTCTGTTGTTTTTGTTGTTTCCCTTCAACATTCATGTAGTTTATATTTTAGTGTTTTATTGGTTTACTATATGGTATTCATTATATAGCGTAGTGTATACCCAGTTGCTTTGTATTAATAGCTCAGCTTATTGAAGAATATATTGAGTACATTTATTATATTCATGTATATTCTTAGTTCTTTCGGTAAAGTCACGTTGAAGGGAAACAATAAAATAATAAAATATATATAAAACAATAACAATTCTCACGACGTTTCGACCATAACACAAACGGTCGTCATCAGGTGTGCCGACACACCTGATGAATTACTGCAGTCACGAAAGCTTCAAATCAAAATTTATATTGATGTAGTTTCCACTTAGTTTTTTTCACATCGGTTTACTGTATGATAGTTGGGTAGTTGCGGTCCTGCAGCGTCCATATACTAAATGCCTCTGTTGATATGTAAACTTTGACTTTAACATAGCTATTTCTGTGACCAGTCACAAGCCAATCCCTCAGGTATTTCAATGCTAAACTCTCCTGTTTGATATGTAAACTCCTT